TGTACCATGTTGCTAACAGTACCACGCTGCTAACTGGACCATGCTGCTAACTATTCCATGCTGTTAACTGGACCATGCTGCTAACAGTACCATGCTGCTAACTGGACCATGTTGCTAAATGGACCATGCTGCTAACTGGTCCATGCTGCTAACTGGACCATGCTGCTAACTAGACCATGCTGTTAACTGGACCATGCTACTAACAGTACCATGCTACTAACTGGACCATGCTGCTAAATGGACCATGCTGCTAACTGGTCCATGCTGCTAACTGGACCATGTTGCTAACTGGACCATGTTGCTAAGATAACCTCACAGTCATCAGAACCACTCAGCCAATAGGAACATGCTGCTGTAGATATATTTCTTTTTCACTTTTGGCACCTTGTTTCTGTATTTTGTTACATGCTTTGAATAAAGTCTAGTTTATGTTAGTTTAGTTTATGCTAGTGCTCGCATTAAGTGTGTAAATTAAAGCCAAACAGAACCTGAGAATCGTGCTGCTGTGGTTCGGTGTATTGTTTTGCACTGTTAGTGACAGGGGTATACAGTATCTTGGATCTTTTTGTGTACCGTTGGGTGTTCGTTTAGCATATATCTTAGTTTATATCTTAGATCCTTATTTACTGTTTCTTTTTATACTTTATATTTTTGCTATTGTTAGGCGTAACTGGGACCCTGTGTACACAATTTTGTTCCACCTCATGTACCACATGTGATGTGAATGACAATAAAAGAGCTTGAATCCTTGAATGTGTTCAACACAATGGTATTTCCTCCAGCTACTGTTAACAATGGTGTACCACAAGGCTCAATCTTAGGTCCCACCCTCTTTACAATCTGTAAAGGTAATGTAACGTAGGTCAGAGCATCCCTGATGCATCCTTACATTTCTCTGTTGACGATACAGTTGTTTACTGTCAAGCTAAAACAGTTGATAAGGTTTTCCAGCTTTTACAGTCTGCATTCGACATCATCCAGACAGATTTGCTTCATCTCAAACTGGTGCTAAATGCTGACAAAACCAAAGGGATGTTGTTGTCAAACAGGAAGTCGGTCCCAGCAGTTCTTGCTTTGATTTTATCTTTGAATGACATCCCTACTGAGTTTGTCGATTCTTACAAATACTTGGGTATCTTGGTCGACTCTCATCTCTCTTTTAAGCTCCATGTGGAAAACTTGGTAAAGAAACTGAAAGTTAAACTGGGTTTGTTTTTCAGAAACAGATCCTGTCGAACTCTGAACCCTGAGGAACACCTTGTATCTGTGACTTTCCTTCCCTCCATTGATTACGGTGACATTATTTACATGAACGCTCCTACAAGAACCTGCAGATGTTGGATGCTGCAGATGTTGGATGCTGTCTATCATGGTGCACTAAGATTCATAACTGGCTGTGATTATCGTACCCACCACTGCACCCAGTATCCACTGGTTAACTGGTCACCATTAACTTCACACAGACTCTCTCACTGGTACATTTTCATCTTTAAATCACTTCCTGGTCTGCTGCCTTCATACATCTCCTCCTACATGTCTCTGTGTGAGTGCAGCTACAGCGTGCGCTCTCAGGACATCATTACCTGCAGTGTTCCCTCAGTGAGGACTGAACTAGACAAAAGGACCTTCTCCTACTCCGCTCCTGTTTCCTGGAATATCTTGTAAAAACATCTGAAGCTCTTGACCTTTGACCTCTCTAATTTGTGGCTTCAAACATCTGTTAAGTTCTGGCAGACATGTTCCTGTTTTTAGTATTTTACATCGCTTATTATGTAGCTGTTTATTTGTTGCATTTGTTTACATCATTTCTTCTATTTACTTTTCATTTTATATGTTTTTTTAACGATTGTCTATTGTTGTCTGTACCTTGTCGGTGTTCTTGGTTAAATCAGGTCTCTCTTGCAAGAGTCCTCGTGGCTCAATGAAACTAACCTGTAGAAATAAAAAGGTTGAATGAAAAATAAAACTGATGACTCATGGTTCTTTAAAACCACTGGTTTGAAGCCAAGGAGTTCGTCCTGCTTCAGATCATTCACAGCATTTCTGCTTCACGCAAAAAGAGAAACTGAAAGCAGGAAGTCAGCCATGCAAAGACAAATACTAACTTTTTATTTTGCTCAAATAAACTTTTTTCTTTGGATCATTTACCGCCAAAATGGAAAAAGGCGGGAAATACTGACTTTACCTCTTTCTGTGTACCTGTATGTGTATTTGTATGTATGCTGTGTGTGTGGTCTTGTATTTCTGACTTTGTGGGACTTTGCATTGACTCAATTCATTTTCTATAGCCTCACCCTGACCCTTACCCTAAATCTAACCATTACCAGTACATACCTAACACTAATCCATCTGCAATTCACACCTTATTCCTAAAGCTAACCCCTGAACCCCCAACCATACTTATCCTTATGGGGACCTGGCTTTGGTCCCCCCAAGGAGTAGTTGGTCCTCACAATGTAGGATTTTTTGCAAAATTGGTCCCCACAATATGACCTGAAACAAAACCGTTTGTGTGTGTGTGTGTGTGTGTGTGTGTGTGTCAGATTATCTCCTGAACCAGTGGCAGGTTTTATCAAAGCCATTTCAGTAAGAGGTTGGACTCTGTGACCCAGCTGGACCTCGGACACATTAACGTTACATCACTCCATCTGATTATGAAACTGACCTAAAAAGTGATCAAAACGCAGACCGACCCCGACCCGACCTGCAGGATTATTCCTCTGGTCTCCGGTTGGGTCACAGTCGGCTCCGATAGTGCATGTCAGGGGTAAAAAGTCAACGCATTCACAGAAATAACTCGTCGACACACGCTGATCCAGCAGAACCGGGTGTTACGTTCAAAGCTTGTGTTTTCAGATTTATTCTGACTATTTATCCCAAAGAAAACTACAGAAACATTTAATTCAATTAATTCAGTTTGGTTTATTTATATAGCGCCGAGTCACAACAGAAGCCATCTCAGGGCCCTGAACATTTTTATTTATCCGCCCAAACCCAAACTCTTATGACCGTAGAAGGTAAACATCTAGTTTTTACTTGTTTTATAAAAATTAATTTTAGCTAAAAACTGAAAAACAAAA